TGGCTGTCCCAGCCCTCATCGCAGATCTGTGCCCAGCCATCCTTGTGGCGCACCTCCACGATGCCCTCCGTCACTGGCAGCTGCCTCCGAGCCCCGGACACCACCGGCCGCAGGCGGACCTCCTCCACGTGGCTCTGCTCAGTCTGCAGGGCACAGGTCAGCCCAGGCTTGCACTGCACCTGCCACCCCGGCTCCCTGCCAGCCCTTTCCCAGGGATGCCCCAAGGATGCAGGCACTCACAGGAGATGGGGTCCCCAATCCCAGGTGGGGAACAGGGATGGCCAGGTCCTGCATCCCTGCAAACCACATCCAATGGCCCTGGATGGCAGCCAGTGCCCCACATCCCCCTGGCCCCCCGGGTGCATCTCCTGGGAGCACAGCCAGGAGAGCCAGCGCTGCCGTCCCATCACCTCAGGACCCTGCACCCGGAGGGAGGGTGCCCAGAATGCCCCACACCCAGGCACCCACCCAGAGCAGGATGGCAGCAGGGGGTGCCAGGACACCAGGCACAGCCTGCAGGACACGGCCCCAGCCCCCCTCGCCTCGCAGGAGACCTGCCGTCCAGTGCCCAGAGCTGTGCCATGTCCCCACACCCAAGCCACGTCCTGAGCAGAGCCTAGTCCTCCGCAGGCACTGTGGCTGGGGGGGACAGGGGCCCCAGCCAGGAAGACAAGGGCAGCCACAAGAGCTGGTCTGAGAAACAGAGAGCCTGGAAAAAAGCTGGGGGGGGGGAAGAGAGAGAGAGAGAGGCCAAGCATGCCGGAGGAGTGTGGCATGGAGGAGCAGGTCTGGGACCGAGGGTCCCCAGCAGGCAGGAGAAAGAAGAAAACAGGCTGCAGAGGTGTGAGACAGACCCCCTGGCCCGGAGAAGCTACTGGGGGAAGCAGCAGCTCGGGATGCTCAGGGGAGGCCGTGGCAGCACCGCTCTCCCATACAGGGCAGGGGAGGGATGTGCCTGCTGCAGGGTGGCCCGCCACAGTGCCAACTGCTCCCTGCAGCCCCAGAGCCGGGCTGGGCTGTGCGCACCCCAGGGAAATAGGTGCTCACACAACCCAGGGGCACTGCGGGTCTGGGGAGCCAGGGCAGTGGGGTAGCACACTCCCCTCTCCATGAGGAGATGGGGACAGCCCATGTGCTAGGGCTAAGGGAAGGCACTGAGAGAGTCCCCTGGTCCTGCACATGGGAGCCTGCCAGTGTGCAGTGGGGAAGTTGCCTCCCGACTATTCAGGGAGGACTGAGGCCAGGCTGGGCTGCCCCACGGCAGGGCTGCCCCACAGCAGGGCTCCTGGCAGCTGGCTCTGCGGGATCCTGGGCAGCACCGTCTGCCCACCGTGGCCAGCAGCTTCCTTACCTCGATGACGTTGGAGTCCTTGAAGCCTGGGATGCGCTCATCCTTGCAGATGACACCTGCATCTTCCTCATGGCTGCAGTCGCTGTTCCCCCAGCCCCGGTGTTTGCAGTCCCCAATGCTCTTCTCACCTCCCGCACAATTCACGTTGTCCAGCCAGATCCGCCCTGCCAGACACCAGGGCCAGAGATGAGGAGGGGCCAAGTCCGTGCAGCATCCCCCAGAAGCAGGGAAGGTGCCCGTGGAGCACAGCCAGGGACCACACAGGTGTACAGCAGGAGTGTGGATGTTTGGCTGGGGGCAGCCCTCCCTCAGCACAAAGCTGAGGCCAGCGAAATGCCAAGAGTAAAGCCTTGAGTCGGGGATCTGCAGATGGGGACTTTCCACCTCCCCAAGGGGCTGCTCTGCCAGACATAAAGCCCCCATGTAACATGTGCCCTGGGGTCTGTACAGCATCTCACCTGCAGCACAGCCCTCTACACCTCTGCACCATATGCCCACACCAGCCTGGACCCACAGCCCCCCTATACCACCCAGGGGCATGCACAGCCCCGCTGCTGTAGTGCATGCCTGCAACCACCCTATGCCCTGGATAAATGCACAGCCGCTCATACACAAACACGCAGGGTTTTCCAGCCCACTTTGCATGTGCATATATGTGTATGTGCACACACACATGCACACACACACTGTCAGGGACTCAGCAAACACAAGACCTGCCCGCCCCCACCCTCCCACCAGTGCATGCAAACCTGCTGTGGCACACACACCATCCCATGGCAGCGGGCTGATGTGCAGCCACAGCCAGGTTGGCCCCAGCCCATGCAGTATGGTGGGCTGTGCCCACCACGCCTCCCTTACCAATGCCTTTGCCGTACTTGGCGCTGTGGGCCCAGCCAGTGGCAGCCACAAAGCCGAGGTGCCGGCACAGCACATGTGCATTGGCCAGCGTGAAGTCGTCGTCACAGATGGTGCCCCACTCATCGTTGTAGAAGACCTCGACACGACCCTCGTTGTGCTTGCGCGGGTAGCCAGCCAGGCGAAACTTCAGCTGGGGCCCGGGGGTGTGCGTGGGGCCCAGGGGGGTGGGCTGGGCACTGCCCCCCCACAGCCACATGCTGCTCAGCAGCACCAGCAGCTCCTGCCATGCCCACGTGCTGCAGCTTCCCATGGCAGCTTGGCTCTGCAAGGGCAGAAAGGGTCAGGGTATGCAGGATGGACTAGCTGTGCCAAAACACCAGCTCCCCTGATCCAGACCCATGCTGGTTAAACCCCCCTGCTCACATGCAGCTCCACTCAGCACCAGCACGCCCACATGTCTCATCCCTGGCCAGAGCCACCCCGCTCTCGCTACCCACCCGGTGCCTCCCGCACGCAGCCCCCTGCACCAGCCCTGCACCCCCAGGGCTGCCATCAGTCAGGGCTCTGCCCAGTGCCTCCCTGGCACCTCGCACCCCTCCGCGAACGGCCGCTACTGAAATCCCACCACGCTGCTGGGTCGCATCTCCTGCGCCAAAGGGCAGTGACGGCAGACAGGCAAAGGGGTGTGCGTCACCCCTAGGAGAGGCAGCCGGAAAGGAGGGGGATCGGCTGCCAGAGCAGAGGGAGGTGGAACAGGACCAGGACCTGGGGAAAGCCTGGCTGGACCGTCCAGGAGCTTGATCCACCACAAGCAGAGCAATGGCTGCGGGCCGTGAGGGGCTGCCAGCTCACGCTCGGAGCCTTTCACATTCCTCTGTGCGGCATTTCTCCAGCCCTCCAATAACATCTGTGGCTCCCTGAATACCTGAGGGAGATGTGGTATTCCTGCACCAGCCCCATCAGCAAACAATGGTGAAAACACTTCTCTGTGAACCACATTCCTGTGCACTATTCCCATTTATCCCGTAAGGGACCACTTTAACCCTGTGGGTGCTGCAGCAGCCCAGGAACAGCGTTTCTGCGCGGGCGGTGTCAGCCCTGCTCCAGGCTGGGCTCGCCATGCTTTTGACGGCAAAACTCCAATGCTCATCCAGCACTGCCAGCATGGCGACCCACCTGCCTCCCGCCACCGCAGCCTCACATCACCCTTCCAGCCAGTCCCTTCCATAGGCGGGGAAGCACACCCCCAAGCCTGGGAGCCCCCCCGGGACAGGCCCAGCAGAAATATGTCTCTGTGCCCTACATGCCCCACCCTGAGAGCAGATCCTGCACGCCGCACTCACACAGATTGTCCTTGTCATTAGACAACGTTAAAAAGAATAAGGTCTGGCTTACCCACAAGTAGGGGTTATTTAAAACTCCAGTGTTTAGCTACAGGGTTACAGAAGAAGGAAAACAAATGCAAACCCCGCACATGCTCCCAGCGTGGGGCTGTGCCGCAGGGACCCTTCTCGCAGACCCTTCCCATGGTGCCAGCATACTTCCTTAGCAAGCACACTTCCCTGCGAGCCTTCATGGCTGCTCTCTCACAGCTTGCTGCCTACGTGCCAGTTTGGTGGTATTGCAAGGGTGTATCGGGGCATCCTCGAGAACCGCGGCTGCTCTTTAGGTGCTGTGCTGTAGAAGCCCCTTTCCCTGGACTAAGGCCGGTCTGTGTGTTGCCCCTTTGCTCCTGGCATCTCGGTACCTGTGGGGTGACAGTAGGGTCCCTGCAGTGGCTTTGGGAAGGGGGTCCTCACAGAGCGAAGGAGCCAGGGAGTCCCCCCTCAGGCAGCACAGCCTCTCCAGGGCCTCGCTGTCAGCCTGGCCGCCAGCACAGGGCTGGGGGCTGGCATGGCCAACCCACCTCCCTGCTAGCCCCTGGGGCAGGATTTCTGCAGAGGCTCTGCTAGCAGGAATTGACCCTGTTCCTGCTCTGTTCACTTTTCCAGATGATGGAGGCCAGGTCACCCCTCCAGTCTCTGGGAATGCCTCCTGGACCCAAGGCAAGGACGAACCAGGGCGGTGCCCAGAGACAACCCCTTTTCCATGGCCATCGCACCAAAAAAAAAAAACCCTGAAGGGGACCAGCCCTGCTGCCTACCCCTTCAGGCATGCACCATGTCAGAGGTGCCACCAAGAGCAGTGAGTTCCTTGGGATGAGTGCCTGGTGCCCGCAGGAATGCTCAGGGAGCGAGGGTGAGGGGTTAACAAGGACCAACAACACCGGTCCAGGCCAATGCAAGATATCGTGGCAGGAAGCACACCAATGCCCTTGGGGCAATCACATCAGCACCGGGTCCCTCCTCTATCACAGCCTGGGGCATGCGGGACACCACAGTGCTGATGGAGACTCAGCAGTAGGCAGGAATGCGCCTCAGCTCAGGGCAGCCCACGAGCCCTGAGGTTGGTGGGAGCTGGCTCCAGGCTGCCCACACCTCTGCCTGCTTTGGTACTGTGAGAACAAAACAAAGCCCAGCAGGAAGCGTATTTGTGGGCAGGCAGCAGGGAAATGCTTTGCTGAACCTTTTAATCAGCCTGTTATGGCAGGAGAAAGAGGAGGGCGGGCACAAAGGGCCACCCCAGCCCTGCCAGCGGCTTGGGGAAGGGGGGCTCTGGGCTTGCCAGGGGCAGGCAGGGCAGGAACACTCCATCCACATCTCTGCTCTGTCTGGAAAGCAGCGAGGGGATGAGTTTACCACCTCACAGCAGTAATAAAACACTTATTCCGCCCATCAGTCACTGAGGGGACATCCCCCCTGCCCAAATGTAGCATTATAAATCCCCAGACCTATACCACTTTGCACGACACAAAAGTTTGGGCCCTCTCGGTGCTAATTGTAACGCACCTTGGGAGACTGTGAAAGCTGCAAGCGCATAAGGACTAAAGCTTCACGAGCACTTGCACTGAACAAGCAAGATGATCTCTGCTGATGCAGACTGCAGGCAGGCTCCAGGCTGTTTTGCAACAGGGTCAATGCAACGCTAAAGGACAGCAGCACAATTAATGCCAATCTCCACAGTTCTGCAGAAATAGCCCGTGTCAGAAAGCTGGTGTGACCTTTTATGAGATCACAGGTTTGGTTAATTGGAGTAACTGTGTTGATATAACAGGCTGAGACTGGAAGGCATTCAATTCATCTTGCACTACCTTTTAATGAATAATTAGCACTCAACAAAATCAGTGCACCTTCTACTAAGTGGATTAAAACTGGTCACCTGCTGGAACTAAAATGTGGTTACAATGGGGAAGTCACCAGTCAGTGGGCTTTCCGGTGAGGATCACATGCTTTTCAAAGCAAAACTGTGTCTGGAGGAGGAAAAAAGTCCTCTCCTGGTACAGTCTGCAAAGACAGAAATAGCGGGGAGTGTGGAGAACTGTGATGGGGACAGACCTGGGCAGCCTGGTAAAATGGCATCATGTAGCCTATATCCTTGACTACAAGGAAAATTTAAGCCCATGCATTTAGGAACAAAGCATGTAGGACCAGAGACCAGAACACGGCACCTGAGAAAGTGCTTGGCTTTGTGCAGCAAAGCACCAAGTCCCCACCAAGCCCCAGTCCCCGCTGAGCCCCAGCAGTGTCACCTCCAGGATGTGGTATGTTCAGTCTTAACAGGATCACCAAAATCATCAGTGTCTGAGACCGCTTGGCTTGATGCGAGGTCTCAGCCCCAGCCCTGCAGCAACGTGGGGCAGCCCCACATGTGCCTGCAGTCTCACAGCCCTGCCAGACAAGCACCTGGCCCCACATCCGACTGGGCACGGGGTGCAGCCAGAAGAGCTGATGCTGGGAGGGCCTCCATGTCCTGACACAGTGGTGGTCAGGGCAAGAGCCATATGGCTGTGTGAGGCCACGACAAATGTCTCCCAGCCCAGGACCCCAACCCCTACAGCAGCGCCAGGAGGTGCCCTGGGACAGGGCAGTGATGTCCCACTGATGCCCTACTCTGTCACCCCCAGCTCAGCTATCTCAGCCTTTGTATTTAAAAACTTACTGTGGCTTTCTCTTCCTCACAGTCCTTTAGTTGCTTCTGGACCTGCTCAAACTTCTGCCATCCGTTTCTACATTAACCTCAGCTTGCTGTCACCCTCAGCACTCTTCTGGGTCATGGCTTTCCTCTGCTCAGGCTCCAGCGTCCTCTGTCCCCACTGTGCTTCCTCTGCCCTCACAGCTCAGCCTGTCCTCAGCTCCTGCTGCTCATTTCAGAATTTCCCAGTGAGACGTCCTGTTGAGGTCTGCACGGGCCAACAGCACTTCCCACACCCAACCTAGGATAGCTGTCGGGCTGCAGTGTGAGCTCCCTAGGGCACGACAGGAGCCGTTTCCCTGTTTCTGTACTATCTCCCTCTCTGAACGTGCTCCGAGTCCATGTGCCAGGGAGGTCAGGCTAACAGGGCTCTCATTGTCCAGATCACTTTTTCCATTTTCTGAAATGCAAGCAGTGCATTTGCTCTTCTCCAGCCATGTGACACTGCCCGACTTCCCCACTCTGCTGGCAGGCTTTGCTCCCGGGCCTGCCTGCTGCTCCTGGACCGGGAGCCCAGCCCCAGCCCCGGCAGGGCTGTCCTGGGGAGCTTTGCAGGCTGGCGGATGGGGCCGATCTGTGAACAGCATCTCCTGGTTTCAGCCTAGGGCCCCTTCCCTCCAGCCGGAGGGCCAGCCCTGACACAGCCTTATGGGACCACGGTCCTGCCAGCTGGCACAGCAGGAGGGCACAAGATCTGTGCCAGGGCTGGGGCTCTTTGGCTGGGACAGACAAGCTGGGGGGGGTCCCTCCACCCTGGAGGGGCTGATCACCCAGCACAAGAGTCCCAAGGGGGATTTCCCATCTCCTTCCCACCTCTGGCCAGGGGAAGGTTCACCCCTTTGCCCAACCTCCGTGGGCTATTCCTGCTGAGAGCAAGGGTCCCACAAGGGCGACAGCTGCCACCCTATTGGCACGTGGGACAGCTGGTGCCGCCAGCAGCACAGTGGGAGGACGTGAGCACTGGTGCTTTGAGAGGACCAGGAATCTGCAGGAACCGCACACATCCGCTGGAGAGGGCGAAAGGCAGAGGTGCAGACAGCCTGGGCATGGCCAGCCAGCACCTGTGGGAGGGGCAGGGGGCCGGGAATCGCCTGGGACAGGGATGGGGTGTCCAGGCATGTCCCCTGGCTGCTGCCACTGTAGGTCTTGGACAGGAGCCAGGCACAGTCCTGCCTGGCCTTGCCTGCCCCAGCGCCCCGGCCGTCCTGCTGCCAGCTGCCTGCTCCAGCCAGGGACAGT